TACCATAGAGAGTATGGATAGTAGCTGAAAGATTCAAAGGGTACAATAGACTTCTTCTTAAGTACGGGGTTTTCAGCTAGGAAAAGTCCCTTGTCCGAGAGAACCGAACTGAATACTTATTTGTGTTTTCTAATTCACTAGAATTAGGTTTTATACTTGAGTGATTCTCTCACACGCGGAGTCCCGATATAGTTTACCGGTTCTATCGCTATTATTTTCGATGACCCTATTATCAGGAATATTTGAAACCTAATTTCAAAACGCAATATTTGATGATTCTGGGGGTTTGGAGTTTGGAGTGGCTTTTTTATAATCTGGTCCATAGATGTTACAATCAGCTTACCATTGGATCTTGCTTGGGATTCTTGTTGTCCTTGAGCAGAACAAGCCTTCTTGAAGCATTCTGGTTCAGTGACGAAAGCTGCTATACAACCAAGAAACAATACGCCATAACGATTGAAGGATCGAGCAATTGTCGATATTTCAACTCTGTGACAGGTTTATGGTAAAGGTAACAAATGGAGTGACAGAAGGGGCATCAGAAAAAAAATATCAACAACATACGGATGCAAACAGGTACAATAGACTTCTTCTCAAGTACGGGGTTTTCAGCTAGGAAAAGTCCCTTGTCCGAGAGAACCGAACTGAATACTTATTTGTGTTTCTAATTCACTAGAATTAGGTTTTATACTTGAGTGTTTCTCTCACACGCGGAGTCCCGATATAGTTTACCGGTTCTATCGCTATTATTTTCGATGACCCTAATATCAGGAATATTTGAAACCTAATTTCAAAACGCAATATTTGATGATTCTGGGGGTTTGGAGTTTGGAGTGGCTTTTTTATATTCTGGTCCATAGATGTTACAATCAGCTTATCATTGGATCTTGCTTGGGATTCTTGTTGTCCTTGAGCAGAACAAGCCTTCTTGAAGCATTCTGGTTCAGTGACGAAAGCTGCTATACAACCAAGAAACAATACGCCATAACGATTGAAGGATCGAGCAATTGTCGATATTTCAACTCTGTGACAGGTTTATGGTAAAGGTAACAAATGGAGTGACAGAAGGGGCATCAGAAAAAAAATATCAACAACATACGGATGCAAACACTGTTTATAGAAAACATTAAGCAATATATCTTACAGAGATTGTATAGTCACCACTACCAGACCAACCCATGTATCGTGCAGTCAAACTTGTAAAGCGACATATTGCAATTAAAAAGGGACATAACACGAATATAATATGAAATGGAACGTTCGGCACGCCCCGCAGTAGAAGCACAGGCTATATGGAATAGTGTATTGGATTTGAAAAAAATGAAGTCAAGTAGCGAATATGCCGGGTCTTGTCATTGTGACAGAAGGATGCGCCAGCAGATGTACAAACTACACTTGATAGGTAGTTAATGGCATGCAATAAGAGCGGTGTCGGGTCCGGACTCGTAAACCTTATGTATATTATCAAGGTTATGTATGGTAATAAATATGATCTATAAATCAGAACCTAACACGGCAGAGTTTGTAGACAAGAGAGACATAATGTGTCAAGAACTGGCAATTGATTTACGACTCACCTTAGCGGATCAATAATCAGTGGTCACAATTCAGCTATATGTGGTACGTCACCTATGACTCTACAGTGGGGATCGGGTTCCATTGTTATTAGGCATAACTATGATAGGTTTTCCAAAACAAAACAAAAAAGTCAACCAACCGACAGCTTGCTTAAGCCTGTATATAGCCCTTCTGAGACTGTAAAGGATATGATATCACGCTATACAGGGAAGCTGAAAAGCCTTGAATTCAAAAACAATAAGGTGACGATCACAGATTGGGCTAAATTCAAATTCAACGGCTGATATGTGAGCTTGAATATGAGTAGTGTGAACTTTTTATTGCTCAGATATCCTACACCCAACTATGTTACACTGCGACACGAACAAGTGAACATGGAACAAGTGGATAGCTGGATGTAAGACGGAGTGATGGCAGTCGATTACAACTGCATTCTAGTCATCCGAGCTTTATTCGCTGTTGAACAATTCAATTCTGATGGGACGCTGAATAGGGTACGATCATAATTGGATACGAGTCATATAAACGCGTTGATTCCAACATACAAGTTCCATTTACCAAGATTCAATAGGTTGCTAAGTTGAACGGAATTTCTTCATCATCGATTCCACGCAAGGATATCATCAACTACTGGTTTATAAGCCATACATGAAATACTTTACGTGTATTGGTATAAGCAGCAGTACTCGTTCAGACAAATTTAGTTGGGTTGCACATGCCATAATCGTCCTTCCAACAAATTATGCGATAGAGGTTTTAGACACATGTATAATATACAGATGTATATGGAACGATGACCGACGAAGAACAAGATAAAGTGGTGAGATAAGTATAAAAAGACTGAGCCAGCATGGCTTTAATTTAAATAGCATGAAGTGTCACTTCGGT